TAGCAGCGATGACCCTGAAAATGCCACCCTTAGTCCTCAGCTCTTCAAAGAACTTTTAAGTTCTGATCCAAATATAAACCAGTGCAGCGATATCAGCCTGAATAAACAGAAGGTGAAAACATGGTGGTAGCATTTTAAGATGGCGTTACGTCTGCTACTGAATGACAACACCTAAAAAAGTCTCCCTTGTTAGTTATTTCACTGCTAATTGTTTTAGCAGAAACGTGGTCACCGCTGGATATGGTGGTAGGATTGAATCAAGGTAGAGCCAGGGCAGCTACTCACTGGGACAAACGAGGCATTCGCTCTTCCATCAGCTGTAACATCATCATTGTTTCTGGCCAAAAGGAGGGAAGATACATGCAACTTCTGCTTTGTATCAAAAAAAAACCCCCCCCCGAGCTGTTCAAGGCTCAGTGTCACGTCAACAGCCAGAAGACACAGCCCAGTTATCACAACCTCATGCTTCCCCAAGCAGCTCTTTCAGTCCCAGCAGATCTGCAGCACGCTTGAAAATTTGTGAGGGAGAATAAAGAGTCAGCATGGGACGCAGGCGGCTTTGGTCTCCCTGTTCTCCCAGACATCCCATGTGGCCTTGAGTACGGCACCTTCAGGCCCAACGTGTATTTACACACTTAAATCACACTAAGTAGGATTTCAAAAGCCTTAATCTACATCTAAATTCCCTTACAAATCTTGCTTTTGATCTCTCCAGCTATACCCGTATTATCAAATCAGCTCAAGGCTCTAGCAGTGCTAGAAATCCACCCCCCCCGGTGGTTCTTAAGATTTAAGTCCTGCCCTGCGCTGGCTCTAGATCAGGACCAGTTCTCCCATCAGTAGCCTCGGGCACAAGGAGCAGGGTGGGGTGGCTGGCTCACACTCCACATCTGCCTCTCCAGGCCACGTGGATGAGGCCGCAGAGCCAGTAGCTCCAAGATCTTGGGACTAAACCGCAGCAAGGAGAGCAACAGCAGCAGCGGCAAAGGGAATAAAAACGCAGCAGCTCTCTGTAAAATGGGAATAGCTCTGCTTCACCTCACAGACAGGGAAAGCAGGCCTGTGTTAGACTGTCCTTACAGACCTTGGAATGGGGCCATCTAAGGAAAAAAGGGCTGTTGAGCGGATGCATCTATTTTTCCATTCTTCCAGTAATCCAGCTATACAATTTGTTTTGTACTTCTGAACCAAACAATTGCACATTCACAGTTGGAGGTAGGGTATAAATATTGTCTCTGGCTGATCCCTTGATCCAGTCGTCCTAGCTGAATTAATCACATTCGCAAATCAATCCAGGATTTGTTGCTGTCGGAGCAGATGGCCAGGCAGACTGCATTTGTGAGCAAGGCGGGCACATTCTCCTTCCAATTATCCAGCAGCGTTTTCCAACGGCGGATATTTAAAATTAGACATTATTTTGAAGAAACGCTAAATCTCTCTTGTTCCTTATTCAGCTCAGTAAGGGCACTGACCCCTAACTTTCTGCTCTACTTCTGCCCTCTAAGGCCTTAGTGAATGTGTAGGATGGCTGGCGCCCCTTTCCCTTTCAACTGAACGTTTTCTGCCCCATTTTCTTCTGCCGTCTTCCCATTTTCTGCAGAAAAGAGGTGACAACAACAGATGCTGTTTGGCGTGGGGATTTCAAGGGTGCATTATATTAATTGTGGAGCTGAGTACCGCAGAGAAGGGAAGAGAAGCTGCATTCATGCTCCTAGCTGCCTGCCATGGCATGTAACAGCAGGAACCGTTAACAGTGCGCCTTTCAAAAGGCCTTGATGGGGCTTCCCCATCGCAGTAGTAAATTTGCCATGAAAGACAGTCATGCTGCTTTCCCAGTGTTCACATCTGTTCTGCATTCAGAGTCTTTCTGGCTGATAATTGCTCTCTTCTCCCCTCTGTCTCCTGCTGAGGAACCGCTAGAGCTGTCAGGGGAGTTTCAGCTGAGCTCGATCACGTTCTGTGTGAGATGTCTCACTTACCACCAAAGGTGAACAAGGTTAACCAAGAGTAGGTTTGCAGTCCCTGAAAGAATGAAACGTGACAAAACAGTCCAGAGGAGACAATCCCCCTGTGGTGTGACAAAACGGACCACGCTGATTAACTGCATCTATGCAAATGTATTAAAATCATCTCCTTCACTTTATGGGCACATTAGAGAAAAGACATAGAGCCTCGTCAGACCAAGGCGAGGCCGTACAAGATGCTGCATATATGCACGCTGCAGCAGACAGCCTGTTAACCCCACAAGATCACATCATCTTAGTACCACCAAAAGGAACAGCAGATGTGGAAGAAAGCCTACGAGAACCGGGAGGGGAACGGTGGCCAAGTTTACACAGATGTGAATACAATTTTACATGCCAGTAGTGTCCTAACTGCTACCAGAGAATATTCACTGCTTAGTATTTCACCATTTTCCTTCACTGTTTTCCAAAAAATGAAAATTGAGTGTTAATAGACAAATTGAGGTATGTAATTGCTCAGCCTTACGCTCAATCTTTCAGTATAGAGTCCTGGCAGATACAAATGTGTATTAGCTGGAGAAATTAAAAGCTAATGCCAGGGCTCTTTGTACTTCAGAACTGATGTGTTTATTGAAACGTGGCTGGAAATGAAGCTCCCAACACCTTGAATACAGCACAAATCAAGCCAGTCCACTACCTTATACAACAGCCCAGAGAGCGGTTGCCGGTTCCCCAAGATTGACTGTTGATCCCGAAAGATACATTCTGAGAACTACAACTCCTTTTCCTTGCTAAGCTGCAGGAACCTATACGCCTCCATATCTGGCAGTTCAAGACTGCTCTTTAGGAACACCAGGGCTTCATAGAATCATAGAATCATTGAGGTTGGAAAAGACCTCTAAGATCATCGAGTCCAACTGTCAACCCAACACCACCACCCACTAAACAATGTCCCTAAGCGCCTCATCTACACGTCTTTTAAATACCTCCAGGGATGGGGACTCAACCAATTTAGGGTGACTCTGCTCAGTGCAAGGGTAGCGGAAAGCCTAGCTCCCTTCGCTGGCAGTGCAGCCTGCCTTCGGGGTGCCTGACCTCCTCTCCACCCAGCAGGAAACCTCAGGACACAACTTGATTTGATGAGGTCTCCCCTCAGCCTCCTTTTCTCCAGGCTAAACAACCCCAGTTCCCTCAGCTGCTCCTCAGAAGACTTGTTCTCCAGACCCCTCACCAGCTTTGTTGCCCTTCTCTGGACACGCTCCAGCACCTCAACATCCTTCTTGACATTGGGATCTCTCAGATCCCAAAAAAATTCTCTCTTCCCCAGCAGTTACAGTTTAAGCTGTGCACCCAGACCAGCCTGGAGGCCACCTCAGCACACAGGACTGACTCCCTGGGCTCAATACCCTTCTGGAGTAGAAGGGGAAGAAGCAGTTACTCCACAAACTTGGTACCATCTCCACAGCTCTTCCTTCGCTGTTAGAGGCAGTTGCCTGCCCTAAGGGAAGACCCTGCAGAGAATGACTGTTACCAAACTAGTCATACACATAGAAGCAAAATCCAAGAACTCCAGCACCAAGATCTAGAAACCCCTCTGTGCAGGCTTTCCCACATGAAGCTGAGCATGCTTTTTTTCTAACCAGCCACATCTTAGGAGATTGACAAGTCTTGTTCTATTTTCTACTGTGACATAGGAACAATCCAACTAGACCAGGCCAAAGCTTTACTGGGTCTCTACAGCAGCTAGCATGCCTGCAGCTACCATGAGAGGTGCCTTAGCCAAGCCCCCCCAATGCCCCCACACAGGTGAGGTCTCCCCTGCTGCTGCAGAAGGCCCTGGGGCCATCACCAAAACTGCAGCTGACATGACTGTGCAAACTAACAAGCGCAGGGGATGGCCCACCTGCCACATGTCCTCATTTTTGTTCCAAGGGGTGAGGCCCACCTTAAATCATCACTCCTACCATACACGAGCCCAGCAGAATAAACCCCAACCACTCTTCATACCCACAGAGTGCCTCAGGTCTCTGTCCCACAGCCTCCCCGCCGGCCCCGCCAGCACTCCCCCTTGAGGGTGCTCAACATCCAGCCATTCTGCCTCTCAGTGGCACCATATCAATATCTCACCTGCTTGTGCTTGTCTTCCCCACCCCCACGTGCACCCAAACACAATGTGGCAGGACCTCCACCTGCGAGGAGCAGGTAAGGAGCTTGGGGAACCCAGCTTGTACTCCAATCAATTCCACAACCCATGGGGGACATGGAACAGTAGGCACAGGCATGCTTGCAAGACCCTTTGACTGGTGTCCCTTTCACTACCAGGTGACTCCAGCACACACGATTGCCCCAACTCCTCCAGAACCAACTACATTTCTCTTCTTCTCTGTATCATCCCTGAAGGCCCTGCCAAGTGAAGGGATCTCCTGAGCAAACTCCTCCTAGCCCTGGACGAGCAATCTATTCACAAACCTAGAAGAAAAAGCACCAGCTGTGTGTAATACTCAGGCTACGTTGCAGATTTGTACTGCTGCACAGAGGTTTTCCATTTTGTTTCCTGTTCCCTTCTCTAGCTTTGACTTTAACGACCACTCAACTGCCCTTTTCATGTAACTATTACAAGTCAAAGACCTTTCCTGAATGAATGCAGCTGCCCTTCACTTCATATCCCTAGATCTCCCTGCAATTCTCTTCAGTCAGTTTTTGTTTTTACTGTCTCAGTGATCTAATAGTAGTGCCAGTAAACTATCACCTCATTTTCTAGTTAAGCATACTCAGTGAACAACAGAGAATGCCACAGGACTCCACAGGTGACCTCCCCCTCTGATACAAGAGCTATTTATTCCTTTTTTTCCCCCTCCTTCCCTTTAATCAGATGGTCTTGAGAACCATTCTTCTACTACAGCAGCTTAGCTGGGTTTTTTTCCAGAGCTTTTGGCAACAGATTTTGTTGCAACATACTTAAATGGCATCTTGGTCACCTAAGAGCCAGATGTGCTGAAGCAGCTGTGCATTTTCTCCTTCACAGAGCGCTCTCACCTGAGAGAAGGGGTTTACTTCTATATCATGTCTAATCTGTGGCCCATTAATGCTATTCTTCGGCATTGGCGGAAACAATGTATGTCAGCTACCGAAGCTGAATTCCTTGGATTATCTTTAGTAGTTTTTTCAGCAATATGGGGGGGACGGGGGACACGGGAACAGGACACGACAGTCTCCAAAGATCGGGAAAGGAAGAAACAGTCAGCAAGAATGAGGAAAAGGAGTGCTTCGATCAGATTAATCTAGCAGTCTCTTGGGCAGGAAAGAGATGAGCCAACAACTGAGAAGGTCCAACTAAGGTCCTTTGACTCCTTCAAGCTTTGGGGTCTCCTTGACAACTCCTCTTAACATTGTTCACTTGGCACCTGCACTCTATATTGTATTTCACAGCTCCCGGTTATGCCAGGAGCCTTCATCTTGTGGGAGAGGTGCGACATGGAAGTCTGTGGCATTTCAGAATGAAATCGAGCCCCCACGCTGTCTTGCAGCTCACAAGTATACACTCTGAGTTTTGTGACACAAAGGTGCGAAGCAGCGGAGGCGGACGGCAGTTACCCTGCAGTACTCCATCAGCTGCTGTCCTCACCTCTCCCTTGCTGCAACCCTTCACAACAGATGGAAAGAGGAATTATTTTAGGTAGAAGAGCAAGCGAGGGAGCACATTCAAGACTGAAGACCACGCTACAAGTCCAAAGCAAACTCCAGGAAGCTGAGAAAAGGAGAAAGGTCACACCTAGTATTAATAGCTTTTCCCCTGCCAGACACCCATGCTAGATGTGCGACTTTGCAATTAAAACAGGGCAACAGAACCTCTTAATTAAACATTTTATTTAAACCAATACAAGCACCATGCTTAGCAAAAAAGATTTGGTTTAAAGTAAACATGCAATGTGAACTAGCAGAGACTAAATAGCATGTGGAATTTGTACTGGTTACTGATATTTTCACAGAATTGCCAAATTCTCAAAACCGGCCATGAACCTCTCGCACCTTTTACCACCTGCAGCACTGGTGCCAACCCTGACACGTCACAATACACAAGTCACATCGAGTCTGGATCACATAACGAAAGCAAGAGTTTCACTGCGCCCCTTCTCACCTCCCATCACACCTCCATTTCACAGTTACTAGGTGTATGTATCAAAAAGATACGTTGCATGACATCCCTTTTTTGAGCGCGCTGAAGTGAGGAACTGAACTCCCTTGCTTTTTCATGTTTGATTCAGACCCCTGTTACCAGTTTAACATTGTTTCTGGACTAGCTATTTTACAGTTAAAGATACAAAAATGGAATCCTGGTACAAATGCATAAGATGCTCCTTTGGAGAAGTGAAAAGGTGTCAACACCCGCATTATTGCCTCCTTTGATAGATCAAAACAGCATTCATGATACTAGAAACACACTTAAACCATCAAATACCAGCATTTAATTTGTTTTTGTTAAAAATACTCAAACAATACAAGTCCATTTTATGGGCTGACATGCAAACTCATGCTTTAATTCAGCTTACCATCAATTAATAGGATTACAAGAGCTGTATCCTAGCCGTCTATTCAGTATTTAAAGCAAATCAGATTAATTGTGGCAGAAGTCTCCCCTTATGAGAGACCTTTAACTAACTCCAGGCCAAGGATTTTATGGCCAACCTACTAACTCCTGAAAAATAGGAGCTCACAATGGAAAATGCTGACTCTCGGACCTTTAGCTACAAAAGCTCCCACAGGCGGCATTAGTTCATTTATGTTTTCCTTTAGTTTGAACCCTCTTTAGAGATCTGAAAATTCAAGACAAATGTATGATTACAGGTGGGCAACTCACTAGTAAAGTACAGTCAGAACGTACTGGCCTTCTGAACGTGGACACATCTGCCTCCCACTGATCTTAAGGGGGCAGCAGTACAGAAAATACAGTTCTAAAGATAAGGTGGGAGAAGTACGTTATGAAAACAAGTATTATTTGTGCAGGAAAGATTTTGACGTAATTAATGTCTTTGTTTAATCAAGTATTAAGCACTACCTGCATCTGAAGAGCCTAGGACAGTAAGCAGCAGACAGCTGTGTCAAAACACTGCATTAAAAACAAGGAAACCACAGACAAGCCTAGAACAGCAAACATCCTCTGCACTCATTCTCCAAGTACCTGCAGCTGCTTCCTCACTTCCACGGCTCAGAGAGGGGAAGGAGGTACAGCTACCAAGCAAGACTGTTTGAAGAGTAATACTGGTGGGCTGAGCAGCATCAATATCACCTTTCACGAGAAAGCGGGCTTTAACACTCTCATCAGGATCTGTTTGCTTCCTACAAGACTTGAGGGGCAGCACCCAAGGCAGACAGTCCTTAAGTGGAGGCAACAAGAACATCCGAAGTGAAAAGAACTCGGACTGAAGATATAGCCGTAAGTAACAATATTTTCTTGGCAGAAGCTGGAGTGATCCAGAGATGAAGAATCAAATTCAATCATTTGACTGCAGCAGCTCCTCCCGAGAGAGACAGGCCCCTTTTACAGTTATTTTTGTCAAGACCTGTGCAAGCAGCAGTTGGATGCTGGCAGCCCACCAGTGTACAAAGTACAACGACAAAGATTATTAATCCAGTTTTCCCCACTGCAAATCAAGCTGAACGTTACAAGTGGCAGCTTCCCTCACCCACGCTGTACTTTGACATGCCTTACCTTTAGCACAATGCCAAGGCAGCTTCCCTCACCCACGCTGTACTTTGTCATGCCTTACCTTTGGCAAAACAAGATTCTTGCTGTTTCAACACTGATGCTTAGAATGACACTATTCTTTAAGCCAAAGTCTTATTTATACACTGTTTGTCACAAAAGACATTGTTTTTATTGATCTGTAGTACAGAATGATCAAGCAACAGTTTCATAATCAACATTTTTTTTTGTCCAGGGAAATCAAATTGTTTTTCCAGTTCACTACATTAACACAGAAACTTAATTACAAGCATTTCTTTCCCGCACTGAAAGATCGATTTAATTGGATCATTCGAACATGTATTTTGAAAAGCTCCTCTCAAGTCAGATTCGTATACAAATAAATGAGCAGTAACATCAAACTAAGAAGAGATTTACCAACACCGAGGACCTTTGCAAATGAATTCCTTGGGATCTTAGAGGAATTAGTGTTAACGCTAACACAACGTAAGTTTACAAACGAAAAATAAACCTTCTTTCAGCAAAGGTTTCACAGCATGAAATACTGGCCTCCAAATTTAACACTGCATTCCTTCTCACCGAACAGATTTGTTAGGGCAGCTGTATTTTAAGCTATGTTATCAACAGGAAGCTGCTCTTACGCAGATACTTACTGAGTAGCACAACAAACACCCATGAGCAAGATAGTGAGATACTGTCACATGAGCGCTCCTTTTGCCACTGCATGGGCTGAACATGTCCCATATCAGACAACTACTCTATTCGATATAAAACAGACCTGTAAAAAGACTGGTCATTTATAAAAGTTAAATACTATTTTCACATTAGAATATTTGCTGTTTCAAAGAGATGAACTGTAAGTAAATGAAAATCAAATTATCACTTATGCAAAAGCTTTATCTGGAATGTAATTTTGACCAACAAGCAGTTAAGAAAGTTAGAGACTGTAATTAAAGTACTCAAAAAGCTATTGTGGCCAACTTCTATAACAAAAGAGATATAAATCATTCATTATCATGAAAAGCTTTAACCTCGTGACTCCTACAAATGGAGTAGATGACTGGAATTTCAAAGAAAACGAGGTTAGCTTTTTCTTTTTTTTAACAGATGTCAACTGCAACACTAGGCACTAGGAAAAAAATGTTACTTGGATTCTTTAACAAAGTTTTTACCAAATTTGTAATAAGTGGCAGTGTAAAATTCTCAAGTCATTTTAAAGCTAACAAATCAAAGGCACACAGTATTAACAGGTGTTCATATAACAGGAAATGAGCAAAGAGGTAAACTTCTTAACAGTGTAATAAGTTATATATGCAAGACATCTGGTACGAGAGTAACCAGAGTTGTAATTCAGCCCTTAGTTATCATCTAGTTCCTGTAAGACTACAGTAGCATGAGAACTGGACAAAGCTTTGCCCTGAAATTTAGTAAGATTGACTCAGTCAACTGAGGAATTACTGGAATGACAAAAATTAGTTCCAAGAATTTGAGAAAGTTCACATGGACCCGATGGAAAGATAAATGAATGGATTTGCTGTACAAGGATTTTGGCTTTTTAATACTAAATGCTTCCAGGGAGTAGTTTTCAAAACTGAGAAGACGTTAAGTCAGAAAGTCTGAAAAGTAAGTGACAGTACACAATTTCTGCATATAAATGGCTAGTACGTGTCATAAGGATACATTTGTAGCTCAGAAAAAGTTAGCGTCAGCTTCCAAATTATGTTTGTAGATAGTTATAAATCCGGAACTGAACTATTTTAGTTATAGAAATATTAGTCACAAGAGTGCAAAAGGAGTCCCTGCAGAGGAGTATTCCCTTTTAACAGGTACAAATAAGGAAACACCTGCAAAGATTTGTTACTTCAAGAAGACAGACCTGCTATTCTTTGCACAAACTTTGCACAAGAGATATACTGCAGGAGACAGATGTAAATACAGTGCATTTTTTTAGATGTAAGTATTCATGTCTGGTTCCAGTATTATCAGGATGGTACATAAATACTTATTACAGAGGTTTTCTTAATGGAAGAAGCCCAGTTTCTCACGCAGCCATTCTTCAGTTAGGTCTTCTGTATTCCTTATTTCAAATACCTAAACAAAATTGCATCGCATAAATTCTTGAGGTGATGGTACTTGAAAGGGATAAGCATACAATGCAATCAATACCTTTCTACACAAGTTGTTTGAGCTGTAATAAAGCAGTAACCAACCTAGAGTGTTCACATGCTTTCTTGAAAGGATCGGTTAATATTCTATAGAAACATCAGTAGAAAATACACAAGACTAAGCGGCCAGGAATATTACTAACTTGAACAAGAATTCCATAATTCCTATTTCTAGACTTCATTCTCCTTTAAGAATATGTGAGAACAGCAAGTGTACTACATTTCAACGTTACTCTGAAAGGGCACCATCTCATACGCATTATCTCTTGAAAGGATCGGTTAATATTCTATAGAAACATCAGTAGAAAATACACAAGACTAAGCGGCCAGGAATATTACTAACTTGAACAAGAATTCCATAATTCCTATTTCTAGACTTCATTCTCCTTTAAGAATATGTGAGAACAGCAAGTGTACTACATTTCAACGTTACTCTGAAAGGGCACCATCTCATACGCATTATCTCCAAGAAGATTGTGAGAACAGCAAGTGTACTACATTTCAAAGTTACTCTGAAAGGGCACCATCTCATATGCATTATCTCAGCAAGAAGATCGTCTATTTGAATACAAATTAATTTAACCTCTGGGCTGAATTAAGCCCAAAGTTCAGGAAGTTTGCTCAGCCCAAGATACAGTTATTCCTTCTTTGAACTGAAATAAATCCATAGTATCCAGTAGCATACTGTTTTCCCTGTAAGAAACAAGCCTGGGATACCTCAAAATAGAAAACTTGCAAAAAAACCCCCAAACCCCAAAAACCACCAACCCAAAGCTTTGCGGAAGTTTTAAACAAACCTTTAACATAGCCTTGAAGCAGAAAACAAGATCAAAGACACCAATATACTCTTTACATTCCATATGGGCAAGTAACTGGGTTTTTTTTTGTGGGGGTTTGTTTGGTTTTTTTTTTTTTTTAATATCCTCGAAGAGAGGCTAAGTTAATTCTGTATTGCTAACCGGAGTCTTTGAGATGCCCACAAATGGATCATCTTTTCAGAAGAGTCAGGTAAGTAAATTTTACAAATCCACAGGCCTTCAAAAGTGTTCTTCTAGGCAACGAAAACAGGGAAAATACTTTAACTGGAGACTGCTGTTACTATTCTGACAACACTGAAAATAAAGCTATGTCGGCACTAAATCAGTTATCTGCCCTTCTAATGGTACGGAGTAGATAGCTGCAAAAAGCATGCTCAGGCCAACAGAATGGATGGGATTTTGTAAGACTCACAAAACAAGCTTCTCAGTGAACCTGCTGTTTGGGATGAACTTCCTATTTAGTCCTGTCCTCAGCCATTACGCCATTTTAATCTTCTTCAGGAAACAATTCAAGTTTTGTATCTTTTCTTCCTCATTTCCCACCTCTGCTGGAGTGGGCTCTGGACGCTACTTGTATTCAGACAGTGATCCACTACTATCGACTAATACTGATTTTTTTTTTTTTTTAAGTGAAAGATAGGGGAAAACCCCAAAATTCAGCATTATAAGAACAGAACAGCTTAACAGAAGACAATATGCAAGCCACTGAAAAAATAAGAGGACTCAGCTGAGTCACACACAGAAATCACACCAGGAGGAAGTCACAGCATGAGCTAAAATGAAACATGGCTCAGCGAGTGGCAAGAATAAAACACATTTGAAGAGCAAGTAAGCAACCCAAACTGGAAACAGGCTATCTTCTCCAGCTTCAGAAGGAAGATGATCATGGACCTCTATATCCACTCCTAGGCTTCCATTCAAAAGCCTTTCAGACTGAATTTCACTTGACAGGTGATAGTAATTCCGATACAGCTGGTCCCCAGACTTTCACCTTCTTATCCACACTTCCTTCTCACTCACTAAAAACTGCCTTCCTCCTCAAGGAATTCTTCCTTTCTATCAAAGGAAGAATTGATGCAGTTTCAACAGACTTCAAAAAAGATTTCTTGGGGCTGTACTGATTGCTTCCACCATCTTATCTTCTGCTTCCCTCCTATTTACTCCTGTCAACTTGACATCTAATTTAAAACAAGAGAGGTCCTTTCTTATGAGGTACAGCTAGAAGATGTAGAAGTTCACAGTTCTCTTACTGCCTCAATATGCATTTTTACTGGGATGTTAAAGTACTCAGTCAGGATAAGGAAGACCAAAAGGGAACGGTGCTGTTGGGGACTGGTGAAGTCATTTCACATCGTACAAAAAACCTGAAGTGACCACTGACTCTATTTAGCTTTACTGGTTGAAACTAAAACTTTAAGAAATCTAGGTGCCAATTAAGCAGAGATTTCAAAAATCTCCAGAATGACAATTAGGTGGCAATTTAAAAAAAAAAAATATATACACCTAGGCTTAGTGAATGCAGTGATTTCTTCTGGTTTCAGAACTACAGGAAGCAAACACAGGAAGATTTAGAATTGTTCAGCACTTGGCACGTATGTTACTTATTCTGAAGACTATGTTCTGCAAGCATACAACCCCATAAACCATGCAGCAAAACTAGTCCGCACCTCACTATACTAACACTTCAGTCTATTCTTCCCATCACTAAATTCATTCCCCAAAGTAAAGACGTCCATCCTACCGATGGATATTTTAGTTTTAGAGAACACTGTTCTTCCTGCATCCTAAAACTCCAGAAATCTCCACATATACATCTCTCTTCAGTCTTCCTAAACCGGAATCTGTTCACTGTAATTACAAAGTCTCATAACACCCTTCTTGCGATAGGTGCAAGCAAGACACAAATGCAGCTTCTGCAACCTGCATTTAAGGGGAAGACAGTTATTTCAACTAGTCAGTTATACCTTAGTGAGTTCAGCTGTCTGTACAAGCTTATTCTTGCTTCCAGCATACATCATCTGCTGTTCAGGCTTACATCCTGTAGTTGTGTGGAAAAAAAAAAAGTAGTTTTGTTTAGTTATTTTGACTGCAACACTTCAAAAATAAGAAATTTTTTTTTTTTAAGAATCCAAACTGAAAGCTGAAGTCTCCATTCAGAAAAGTGACCTATTTCTTTATATACATTATCACCCTTGCTCTTACTTTTGTATCTAGTACTTGAAAAGCATTTCCAGAAGTAACAGATGTGCAGGTTGAATTGGTGGTCTCAACATGCACCTGTATTTCTGCTTAGAGCTAACATCAAATATTGCAGCAGTGAAACCTGAATCACAACAGCCGACAAAGCAGTACCTCCCGCCACTACAGTAGTGTGCTGATTACACTACTGTCAATTCTTTGCTCTCTTGCTATTTCTAGAAGATTCCCATGTCTTTGCTAGTTACAGTTATACAGATCTTTATAGCGTATGCCTTTGAGCTGGAGTCAAACTGAGAACAAATCAAGTCAGTCTGAATTTGTTGTTCTTTCTCCTAATCTCTCCCCAAATCCCCCAACTGAATCAGTAGCTCAAAGGGACTCCCCCCCAGCCCCAAACACAGAGCAACTTCAGCCACAGCTGAAGTTAACTGCTGTTTAGAGTCCCAGCTAATGGTTCATTGTTTCTGACTCCAGTACCAGTCTAACTGCAAACTTGTGTCTGCAGAAAATTTTTTGAAACAGAAAACCTCAAGAAAAAAGTAAAGGCTTTTCTTTAGAAGTTGCTTGTTTAGAAGTTTCTAGATACAAGTGTACTTTTAAATCTCGCCACCCCTAAAGAACATTATCTAAGCTCTCTTTTCCTATGAAGTACTACAAGCCTGCCTGCTTTGCTATTTCAAGGTCTCCCAGGAAGTTTCTTACTGCTGTTCTAGCTCTCAAAATATCTATCCTTCTGAAGAGGAGGAACACCCATAACATTCATACAAAGATTCTCAGGTAATTACAGAAGAATATGCTTGCTAGTTGCTAAACTCTTCTACCTACCTAGTTATTCTAGTTCTGAGTAATGAATGGTAAAACAATGCAATCAGTTTATCTTCTTCTAGAGGATAACAAGGATAATCCAGTAATACCAGCAAGCTACCCTATTACAGTTCAGAACACAGATGGAAGCCACAAGAGCAATTCAGCTCTCTAAGTTCAATCAAGTCACAGGTTATTTGGCTTCTATTAAAATTACACAGTTCCCTGCACAGGTATGTTTATGTTGAGGGTTGCTGTGACACAAGCAGAGGAAGCTGCTGCTCTACATAAACTCGGGACGATCTAAGATTACAGTCTCTCTCTCCTTGAACATAGTCTGTTCACCCAGCACTTTCACCTGCCCAGATCTGGGTTATGGAGCCCTCTTTTTCTCCTTTTCACCCACAGTTGTGACAGCCCTTTAGACCCTCACATCATAGCACTGTTTGGAGGCATCCTCTGTTGCTGCTCATTGCATATAGGCCCCCTGGAAAACCCTCCTAATTCCACCCTAACCCTTTTACAGAGTCCTGTTCCTTTCATGGGTAGACACGGGTTCCCACGCCCTTCTGAGAAGGAGAGGAATTTCTTCCCACCCAGTCACTAACATCCGAGTAGCAAGATGGACAGAGGTGAACAGAAACCCTCAGGAACAGAGCGGGTATCTTCCAGCCCTCTCCTCACTCATTTCCTGAGCCTTGCCTGGTCATACTTTGAGGATTCCCCAAGATTTGAGGAGAGGGTGACAGGAAACACATTCGGTTAAACCTACATGAATAGATGCAGAGCGCTCCAGGCTTTCCCGAGCACACCACTGAGAACACAGTAGGCAGGCACATTTAGAAAGACACACGTTTTGGCCAGCTATACAGGAAACTAACATTTCTGTTCAGCCTTCAGAAATGGAAAAGAAAATCTCTTCTACCATACTTCCTAAGTGCCCTAAATGTAAACCCCAGAGGCAGTGAAAACCTCTAGCAACTAGGGAGATCTGGGCAGATGGAACTGTCTACACTTGTCACGAGCTGATGGTGAGGATGGAGCTAATACACCAGAGATTCCCCTCTGCCAAAGAAGGTCTCCAGATAATGCCATAGCTTTATAGTGCCTTGCTTCCAGCAGCGGCATAAGCAAATCTAGCCTTAAGCATCTGAACCACTATTTGAGCATTTTATCTTCCATAGCAAAGAATATTCCCATATTTACAGCACAGAGTAGCTACCATGCACAATGTTCACTCACCAACTGGACTGGAGAAGATAAAGCACAATGGATAAGAAACTCTTCCATCGTCATGCTGATACTTGTAACTATACACAATAAATGTTTTTTCTGAAGTTAAAGAAACTAAGAAATCAATGATTTTATTAGGATATAATCCGCAGTTATCAGAGCTTGGTGCAGGCACAAATAAGTCTTGCATTCTAGAAGATGCTTTAAATTTGGTAAGTAGTCTGACTGTTCTCCTGTTTTCGCTTCCATATTTGACTTTCAGAACTGACCCTGCCTGTCTTTACCAACCTCTACTACAGGCGGGTGTGAGGGCTGTCTCCATATTACCGTTTTGCATCAGAGAGCTAAAAATCACCCTTTCATCGCAAATATTCCCCTCCCAGCTTTGTAAAAAGACTTCCTACACCCACCAATGTGTTCCTGGCTTAATGAAAGCCAAATTCTTTCTTTGCAGACTAAGCACTTCATCGTTTCAGGTGTTTTGCTGAATTTGAACTCAAGTTTTAGCCAGGACTCCTGCTTTATAGCCTCCTACTGTGCTATGGTCATGAAAGGAAAGATTCAGAATGGCATGTGGAATAGTGCTAGCCAGCTTTTGAGCATAATGGAGGCAGATATTTTCTTCACTTACAACTTGAGTATCCCTTTTATTTCATCTAGTTAAAGAACAATTTACTTGTCCCTCTCTTCTTCCTTTTTTTAAATACAGGGATTCTTCCCTAGATCACATGCCTACAGCACTCCCAGAATCAGCAACTGCAGCAAAATAGCAAGGGCCACATACTGAGAAAGTACCAAAACAGATCCTAAGTTACACAGGCAATTTTCTATATTTAGAAGTAGCCACATACGAAACTAGTACATTTTGCTCACTTCTTTACATTACCAGCAGCGTGGCTTCGCTTTACTTCCCCAAACATTATATAGTCTAAAAGGAAATAAGATCTTGGGAAAGGCTTAAATGTGTCAGTCGTTGTTTCAACAAGTGGGACAACTGTTCAGTGCATTATGAGAACCGATCCCTAGGTTATCTCACAAATAAAATACCAGTAAAGTCACACTACAGGCAAGTATTGGCCTAAAAAGGTGAAGCCCAACTTTGACCATTTTGAACAGCTTCCAGGAGCGAGTAAGAGCAAACGCCAGCAGCACAAGAAGGATATCGAGGTTGTCTCTCAGGCAGCTCATCTTTTAGCTCATCGGGAGAAATACCCTGGTAACATTAAACACAAGCAATATTTGAACAAGTGATCTTGCACTCAAAGGTATACTACAAAGGCTAAAGCAGAATAATGCAACAGTGAAACAGCTGTAAGTTAGATGTGCATCTACAGTTGAACTGGTAACGATCTCTCGCGCAAATTACTAGAGCAGTTTAGGAAAACTTGCGTGCTAATAGATTCCTATGACTAAATATAGAATTAATGTTAGCATGAATAATCATCTCTATTTTAGGCATAATGAGTTTAGAAAACATTTTTAGCTCTAGTTGGATATGCTGGCAGCTACCATGCTCTTCTAGCTCTAGTGCTAAACAGAGGTAAGCAAGCACACACCAAAAAGTATCTGCTGAAGTCAGCTACGTAAATGGTGCTTTTGAAAAATTCAGTCCTTCCTCCTTGAGCGAGCAAAAAAAAAAGTCCCCATTCTATTTAAATGTTACATTAACTTCTACGTTCTAGGGAATAAGAGCTACGGTTAATGCTCAAATCCCTGGGAAGGATTTAATTTTGCCCTATGTACCATTAAGAAACACTACATGCTGGGCTGACCTTATTATGCCACCTATCAAATTTAGAGTCTGCAGAGGATTAGCAATCCTAGCTTCTAATTCATGGCAGATCAGCTCAGAGTCAAATATGCAGATCCACGTGGAAACACAGCAGAAATCTCTTCAAAAAGCTAGCAGGTGCCAAAGATGCTTTTTACACAGTTGTATCGTTAACAGCTTTAAAATAACTTTTTTGTGTGATTAGTTAGTCAACTCAATTTTTTCTGCATAGTTCCACTATTAATAGTGCTGTGCTTTACATGCAGAGTGACCATGCATTTAAATAAGCTCATGACCCAAATTAGATTAAGAGTTTGATAACAATTTGAAACTAAGGCAGTACCTTAGAGACAACAATACATTGCAGGCTGAAGATACTCTTATTTACAATTCATTTAACAAACCTCATGCTCCTCATCCAGTACCACCAACTGCTTATCCTTGTCGATTTTCACTATAAATCAAAATAAAACATAGATCAATGGGTTTTTTTCCAATCGATTTATATGTGTGCATGAAGCTTTTTAAGATTTCCCCACAAGTATATTCCTTGTACTTCCATTCTGATTCTTCAGTCTGTCCCATGACTTCACAAAATCACTGAAGTCAAGAGAAGTGCACAGTCTGAGTGCTGGTCATTGCAATACACTCTTCTCCAACTTCAAAGACAGAAATGTCAAAGTCCCCTCCTTAAAGGCTACAAAATGTACAAATTCAAAATGACTGTGCCTTGACATTTTTTACTATCATTTTAGAACCAGCAGTAGACTCTGAGCAACAATTAAGTATAAATACTCTACTAAGAGCAGATGAAGTCTTGTATCATAAGAACAGTGTTGCTTTGCTGTTAAAATTACAGGCAGAATTGGAAGTACTGAAGTTCATACAAGAAACAGTCACATTTACCTGTTACAGCAGCAGCATTACATGGGAAGGAAAAGAGGAGACAGGATTTGCTGCAAGACCTTGCAATTTTTGTCAGACATGGTTTTTTAACTTACTTATAATGGCAGCATTGTTGGTTTCTTTACGAAACCGGAATTTTCTCAGTTTCTCCACCAGGTCTTCAGCAACATCACAAACCACCAGAGATTCACTCTACAAAAGGGAAATGGCAGAGGGGAGGGAAAGATAAAACTTTCTAGTAAACCAGAAAAAAGTCCCCATGTCACACATACGTGCGCATAAACCCTACTGAAGTGGAACTGCATGCAACTTGTCCAAAGTTTCAGAACATACACATAAACCAGGAAAACTGTGGATGAAAGCAGTTTTTAAAAACACGAAAACAGAACACTTATCTGTTTTAATATCCCTCCTCAAAGCCACACAGTTAACGAGAAATATTTTATTAGCTATTCCTGAAGTGGGATTATTCTCCTAGTTCTTAGAAGTAAAGAAATTTTACAGTTCATTTGCCAAGACAAGGCCTGAAATAAGGAAGCCCCTTAGAGTAGCAGTAAAGTGGCTACAGTAATTTAAGCATTTAAAATAATAGGAGCTACTATTAGTATTTCAGAAGAACACAGTAATCAAGGGTCACTGCTTATTTTTACCCACAAAAATATTAACTGAACTTTTGAGATTTACACACACAGAAAGCATTTAAGACATTTTAATCAAAAAGCATGGTTTACCCCCGTGTGCTTATATGCCTCTAACTCCAAGTTTTCAGAAGAAATGTCCAGATAACATATTAGTCATCGCACTGAAGATGGGGAAGGAAATGATTATTTCACAAGCAACCATGCAGGTTATCTTCCATTACATATGCAATTTTTAAACTGTACCAAGCCAACCACTGCCATTTCCTGAGCAACATTTAAAACACACAACCTCTATCGCCACAGTTGAGAGATGCATGCCAGCTAGACGAAGAGAAGTTAATTAACATCTCCAGCTTATTTCATATTACTGTCTTTGTCAATTCCTAAAGCATCAAGGCTTTTGTGCCAAAACAACTGTTATTTCAAGACTTCTTTAAAAAAATTGCTCAAATAAAAAAAAAATAGTTGCAAGATTACCTATCACAAGCTCTACTAAAGAGCTATTTCATTGAGACAAATCACTGCTTGCAAATCAGAAGAAAGGTACTATTTAAACTCTGAGTCCTGTCTCCTCATGTTCAACGTTGGCTTGTGAGATTTTCCTCAAAAAGCAGAGCAGTGTCTCTCCTTCCCCACTTCCAAAGTCACCTTGCAAATATCCTATGTTTGTTGTTACTCCTAAAAAGACTCCATCTTGACCAAATTCTGGCACAAAGTCTTGTGCCTCTGCTTCCTTTTAACAGCTGGAGAGGAAATCAGGCTCTGTTGTGACAGGACAGGTCAGGCACTGTATGTGCAGCCTTCATTATTTTGCGTGTTTCCCCTAAACTTCAAAGATTGTTCTTGGCTCCCTCTGATCCACCAACGTCATTAATACCCACTCTCACTATTTCAGCAGGTCTCTATTTGGGGGGGGGGGGGGGGGGGGCGTCTTTAAAAAGTGAAGGAAT